CCTGCCGCAGGTGCCCCGCGATGCAGATGCCACTTCCTGCCGCAGGTGCCCCGCGATGCAGATGCCACTGGCTCCCGCTCCCTGGAGGTCCGCATGTCCAGGTGCTCCCAGCGGAGTCGGGAAGCTCCTTCACCTGGGGAGACGAGGCGGACAGGTGCCTGTCGAGGCCCCTGGGAATGTGGGGGGGATCTTTAGGTGGAAACAGACAGGCTTGTCTCTCTTCATTCAGAAAAAGAAAGATTGTCACGCTGAGTGAGCCGTGCTCCGTGAGGACTCCCACGGCGGCTGCCGCGTGCTGATTCCGTGAGGAAGGTGCCTGGTGGGTTTGTGCGAAGTCCTCTGAGGGGAAGATTTCTGTGGCCGTGGCCCTCCCGGCTCGTCCGCACCTGCCGGGGCTCTGCTCAGTCTGCCCAGTTCTCCTCCCGCGTCCCGACCGCCCAGGTCCGGGCGCTCCGCTCCTTCCCGAGGCCCTGGGAGAGCTGGACCGGCCCATAGCAACAGCTGTTGCTATGATTCTTATTTATTGCTAACCAAGCTCATCTTTTTTTCAAAAGGATTGAGGTGGATTCCTAAAATACTGTACATAAAAGATTAAAACTAAGTACAGCAGCCCCCCTCCCGGTCCAGCTCCACTTCCCGTGGACTGTTACCCACGGCCACCGAGGCCCAGAAATATTGAAGGGAGGATCCCAGAAATAAGCAATGGACACGTGTGTGGAGCCGCGGGTGAGATCTCCCGAGTCCCACTCAGTTCCACGCAGGACCTGGCCCCTCCCTTGGCCGCATCCCTGCTCCAGGGGCCCCGCCCGAGGGCACTGAGGAGCCTCTTGGCCTCAGCTAGACGGTGTGGCCTTGCAGGCTTGTGCTCACATCACCCCGACCTTACATGACGCCACAACAACCCCAAAGCACCAGAGCAGCGAGGCTGGCAGTTCCCATGCGTCCAGGAGAAGCCGGAAAGTGCTTCGGTCAGGTCAGCAGCAGCCTGACGTCACCAGCCCTGTCGCTCCCCGCCCTTCTGTCGCCACCGGGGTTTAACGCCACCTGGATGCTCACCAGGATTGTTAATGTTTTCAAGTGATCTGGTTACAAAGCTCCATTGGCTTTAGACGGTCTTCCTCCAATCCCCATTTTCCCGCAAGTCCCATTATTTTTAGCTGGTGTTTGCAGAATGCAAGAGAAATGCACGTATAGTGTTACATCTGAAATGCCTATGTTGGGTAATAACATTCACATACACATTTAAAATAAACAAACAAAAACTCCCTAACTCTGTCTCCACGCCTGCCTTCTCCCCACTCAGTGCCCTCTGCATCCACAAGGCCAGGAGCGAATGTGCCAGCAGCGTCAGAACTGACGCGGTGTCTTATTCTGACACTGACCAGCTGTGAACCCGGGTGACTTCACTCCCTGAGCTCCGTCTCCTCATCTGTGACACAAGGAGGGAGGGAAGGCCTTTCTGGAAACCGGCCAGGGAGCAGGCAATCTCAGTGAGCACACTTGGTCACAGCAGCTGGGTGTCCTGCGAGTGGCCTTTCCCAAGGACAGCGCTTCCTCACAGGGACCAGGCATCACCTGTGCAGGTGCCCAGGGCCGGAACCTCCAGGGTGGGGCTGAAGCCAATGACCCTTTCAGAATGCCCACAGGTGACGCCTGGCTCCACTGCTGCAGAGAGGAGGCTTGTTCTGACTTCCCTTGTTCTGACTCACACCCAGCAAGCAGCTGGGGGCCCTGGGGGGAGAATGCCTGGTCTACTTGACAGCTGGAAATACCCAATTGAAATTCTGTGCCTATTAATATGCTCCAATTGCTGAGCCTCAGCTTCCTCATCTGTAAAATGGACATAATAACAGCCCGTGTCACAGACCTGCAGCACGGATTGTCAGATGTTCCGTGGAGCATGCTCAGAGCAGCGGCTGGTGCAGAGCAGCTCTTGGAGTGATGCTGCTGGTGTGCATCAGGCTCTCTGAGGTTGGTTCCTGTGACTCTGCCCTGGAAGGCCAGTGCTGCTCAGTGTGCACAGAAGCAGCTGCAGGAAGACCCGAAGAGTGGCTAGCTCACCACACTACCCGAGGGTTGTCTGAGCGACTGTCGGTGCCTGACCAGTGTCCAGTAATGCTCCCTCGGCCAGCGTAGCCCTCAAACACCAGAGGTCTATGAACCGTCAGTGGGAAACCACGCACGGGGAAGGAACGCCTGGCCACCCGCCTAGGAAGTCTATTGCTGGACTAACTTGGATTGTAAGAGAGCCTGCAACTTCAGAGCATCAAGAGGATTAGGAGGGGGCCTTGAGCATCTGCAGAAGTGGCGCCAAACATTATTCATTCAACAAACATCTATCCAGCGTCAACACGTGCCAGACCACAAATAAGATCTGAGGCTGAAACCGACCAGGGTAGTGATGTACTTGTGACAGGTGCTAGGACAGCAGGACACAGGGACCACAGGAAGGGGCGTGGAGGAGAGGACCTTGAACGTGAGGCAGGAGAGACAATGTCAGAGTCAAGAGCTAACTGGAGCGAGCACCAGGGTAAGAGGCTCTCTGCTCTGCTCCTCTCCGACGGCTGTGGCACGAGGCGGCTTCTTCGCCCACTCTGAGGGGCGCCGCTTCGGGCTTCACAGCGAGAGCAGGTCACCTCTTCCTTGAAGCTGACTCCCAGGCCTACTGGCTCCCCACCCTGTGGTCCTGTCCTGGCACACACAGTGGGACTCCCAGAATCTGGCCCTCGGCTGCCCTTGCCTGGCCCGTCACCAAGGAAACAGAAGAGGCCTGTGGGAGGTGGGCACAGGTGCACAGACGCAAGCTCCACCCTCGTGGGAACCAAATCCACACCAAATCCACATCAAATCCACACCAAAAATCCACACCAAAATCCACATCAAATCCACACCAAAATCCACATCGAAATCCACATCAAAATCCACACCAAAATCCACATCAAATCCACACCAAAATCCACATCAAATCCACACCAAAATCCACACCAAAATTCACACCAAAATCCACATCAAATCCACACCAAAATCCACACCAAAATCCACATTGAAATCCACACCGAAATCCATATCAAATCCACACCAAATTCCACACCAAATCCACACCAAAATCCACATCAAAATCTACACCAAAATCCACACCGAAATCCATATCAAATCCACACCAAAATCCGCATCGAAATCCACATCAAAATCCACACCAAAATCCACATCAAATCCACATCGAAATCCACATCAAATCCACACCAAAATCCACATTGAAATCCACACCGAAATCCACATCAAATCCACATCGAAATCCACACCGAAATCCACACCGAAATCCACACTGAAATCCACATCAAATCCACACCAAAATCCACACCAAAATCCACATCAAATCCACACCAAAATCTACATCAAATCCACACCAAAATCCACACCAAAATCCACATCAAAATCTACACCAAAATCCACACCAAAATCCATATCAAATCCACACCAAAATCCACATCAAATCCACACCAAAATTCACATCGAAATCCACACCAAAATCCACATCAAATCCACACCAAAATCCACATCGAAATCCACATCAAAATCCACACCAAAATCCACATCAAATCCACATTGAAATCAACACCAAAATCCACATTAAAATCCACACCAAAATCCACATCAAAATCTACACCAAAATCCACAGAAATCCATATCAAATTCACACCAAAATCCACACCGAAATCCACATCAAATCCACACCGGAATTCACACTGAAATCCGCATTGAAATTCACATCGAAATCTACTGACAACTTTATCATTGTTGACAGCATTTTGAATGAAGCAAAGAACTTAACCAAATATATGAAAGGTCTGTTTTGTAAATCACAAATGGACAGCAGATTTTAAAAGTTGCTTTTCTGATCATCCAGAAAAGACCATGTTTATTTCATAGTAAACAGCATGTGGGTGAGATGGGCCACCGCCAGGAGGCCGGGCAGGCACACTGCAGGGGGCTCTCAGGGGAAGGACAGCCACCAGCGGGCGAGGCTGTGGGGGCCCAGCAGAGCCAGCAGCTGCCAGGAGCGGGCAGGGCGGGGCGGGGCAGGGCGGGGCTTGGGAGGGGAAGCAGAGGGGACAGGCAGTGACTCCGGCCTTCCAAGGAGTCACCATGACGGGTGAATCCTGCCCGCTGCAAACAGCGTGTTCACTTACATCAGCTCATGGCCATTCACCAAATGAGCAGAGGTTTAGATGCGAGTCCTCTGTGTCCACATCATGTCAGGGAGAGCAGAGAGGGGCAGGGCCAGCCTACAAGCAGGGCCGAGCCCAGCCCTGCCAAGGAGCACAGACCTCACAGGGAGTGGGGGGTGGGGGGTGCGGGTGGGACATTGGGGCAGGGTATAGAATTCAGGGGTGTGAGACGGGCCTGGGGCACAGCTGGGATGCTGACAGGCAGAGATAGGCACCGAGTGGGCAGTCGTGCGGGCGAGGTAGGGGCTGGAGGTGGCCCTCGCGGGAGTGTCTGAGGTGCAGGGAACCTGCGGATGATGAGGCTGGAAGGAGAGCTCATGGCCAGGCCAGGGCCCCAAGCACGGGGTGTACACGGAAGCTGGGTAAATAATGGGGGGCCTTCGTGTGTGCACTTATTCTTTCATTCATTCACCAAAAATGTACTAACCCTCCGTTGTTATGGGTTCACTCAGCGAGATAGACCACCGACTCAGAATTTAAATTTAAGAGCCTTTATTAAGCTGGCCAGCTGACTACAGTTACAGCACCCTGCCGAAGCAGAGGCTGAACTGCAGCGCCGACTGCAAGAGTTACATTTTATTATTAAATTCTGTGGAGGCCCAGAGAAAATGTGTCTTTCAAATTCTGGGCCCCCCAATATGGAGGAAACTCTATTTATTTGTACTTTTTCCAGTCCTTTGTCTCCCAAATTTGGAATGAGACTCCCGGGCCTTCTGAGAAAGAAGGCCTGCCTGCTGGGAAGGGGCCATGAGACCATATCTCAAGGCCTGGCCTGATGTCAGTACCTTCCTATCTGTGTGTTCTAGGAACAGACAGCACAGCATGACCCGTCTGGCCAAGGCGCCAGATATGCAGCCCAGCACATCGTCAGCGGGCAGCCCCTGCTGTCCCACCGGCTGGAGGAAGATGGAGGCTGCGGCCTGGCCCCTGGGAGCCGGGAATGGCAGTGGGAGGGCTCACTTGGCAGGTGGCATCGGCTCATCAGGCTAAGCCAGGGCCTCTGGCTGCCATGGGGAGGAAGCACCATCAGTGCTGCTCGGGGGGGGAGGGGAGGGCAGGGTGTTAGGAAAGCGGCTGGAGCAGGGGTGGTGGTGGGCGGGACAGAACCGCTGCCCCTGCCCGCCCTGCAGCAGGCCCCGGTCACACGTGGGCAGCATAGTCAGAGGACTGGCGCCTGGAGTCGTCCTCCTCTTCCCGCCCTCTGGGCAGTTCCTTCAGCTGCTCTGGAGGCTCCCGGTAGATGGACCGATTCCTGCGGCCGTGAGGACAGAGGGAAGGTGTGCCCCAGAGCCGGGCAGTGCCCCTCAGGGCCTGCCAGCCCCACCCAGTGCCCCTGGCCGAAGGGCGGGCTCAGAGAGGACAGGAAGGGGCCCAGGCTTGTTCCTCCCGTGAGCTGAGGGACCCGCCAGGGACAAAGGTTCTGGCCACACTGGGCCCTGGCCCCCACCGGCAGCCCTGTCCTGAGATCCACGGGCCTTGGCCAGGTCTGGGGCTGCTGTGCTGATAAAAACGACAGCTGTCCCGGTGTGAGGAGCTGGGGCCACCTTCCCCACCTGCCCAGACCGTGCCGCTGGCGGCCCACACTCACGGCCTGGTCTCCTCCTCTTCGCCCTTCTCCCGGCAGCAGCAGCAATAGACCAGGACGCCTATGATGATGAGGGCCGCCACCACGCCGCCCGCGATGCCCGCGTACAGGGCCACGTTCATGGAGGCTGCAAGGGACCGAGCAGCTGCACTGCCCGAGCCCAGCGAGCCGGACGGGGCCCAGCTGGAGGGCTGAGCACCCCGGGAGGCCCCACAGCCAGGGTCCCAGTCCCTCCACCCCCACCCCTGCCCCCTCACCCCTGGGATCCCGGTCCTCCAGCCCAGGGAGCAGCCTGGGGGCACCGTGAGGCCTGGCCTGGTGGGAGCGCCAGCCAGGACTGGGGATGCTCTTCCGCATGGAGACGCGGACAGGACAAGGACGATGGCCCTGGCTCTGTGGCCGCCTCCCTGTGCTCCCCGGGCCCGGAGTCCTCAGCGTCAGTGAGGCAGTCCTCCTCCAGCTCTACCTGAGCTGGGAGTGGCCCACCCCAAAGGATGGGGCCCGGACCACGGCAGCTCTGGTGCCGCCCGGCCACTGGCTGGGCAGGTCTCCAGGCACCAGCGTCCTGGGCGCTGCTTCCAAAGAAGCAAGGGAGCTGGACTGGCCTCCAGGCAGTGGGCTGTGCAGGGCGTCTGGCGGCCGCTCCCCCCCCCCCCCCCCCCCCAGCCACCGGCCACCGGCCCCGGCAGCGGCACCTCCCCTCCCCGCCCCCACACTCGGCTGCTCTTACGAGGCCTGACGGTCAGGGTGATGTTGCAGGACTCGGTCCCCACCTCGTTGCTGGAGGTGCAGACGTAGTAGCCGGACATGTCCGTGGAGATGTTCTTCAGCGTCAGGGTGTGCCCCGCGCCTGGGAGGGAAGGCCCGGCGTGAGCAGGCGCCAGGCGGAGGGGAAGCGGGCGCAGCTGCAGGCCGGGGCCTGGGCCCGGAGGAGCCCCGCAGCTGCAGGCCGGGGCCTGGGCCCGGAGAAGCCCGGCAGCTGCAGGCCGGGGCCTGGGCGCGGAGAAGCCCGGCAGCTGCAGGCCGGGGCCTGGGCGCGGAGAAGCCCGGCAGCTGCAGGCCGGGGCCTGGGCCCGGAGGAGCCCCGCAGCTGCAGGCCGGGGCCTGGGCCGGAGGAGCCCCGCAGCTGCAGGCCGGCCTCGCCTGGGCCCGGAGGAGCCCCGCAGCTGCAGGCCGGGGCCTGGGCCCGGAGGAGCCCCGCAGCTGCAGGCCGGGGCCTGGGCCGGGGAAGCCCGGCAGCTGCAGGCCGGGGCCTGGGCCGGGGAAGCCCGGCAGCTGCAGGCCGGGGCCTGGGCCGGAGGAGCCCCGCAGCTGCAGGCCGGGGCCTGGGCCCGGAGGAGCCCCGCAGCTGCAGGCCGGGGCCTGGGCCCGGAGGAGCCCCGCAGCTGCAGGCCGGGGCCTGGGCCGGGGAAGCCCGGCAGCTGCAGGCCGGGGCCTGGGCCGGAGGAGCCCCGCAGCTGCAGGCCGGGGCCTGGGCCGGGGAAGCCCGGCAGCTGCAGGCCGGGGCCTGGGCCGGAGGAGCCCCGCAGCTGCAGGCCGGGGCCTGGGCCGGAGGAGCCCCGCAGCTGCAGGCCGGGGCCTGGGCCGGAGGAGCCCGGCAGCTGCAGGCCGGGCCGGCTCCCGCGCAGTGGGCGCTGCGGGCAGCGTGCGCTTACTCACGGTGTGGCCCTGGGCGGCAACAGCTTCACTGCGCCTCGGTTTCCTTATTTCTGAGCGCGGTGCCTGCCTCGCGGACACGGTGGGCATCAGCCGAGGCGCCGGTCACTCAGGCCCACACAGAAGGCCCGACTGGCGGGCGCTCTGGACACACCCTGTACACACGCGCCACCTGAAAATTCTGATGAGGCGTCACTATGACCCCCTCCATGACCTTCAGAAACTGAACCCGTAGCTGGGACTCGTGTGGAGGAAGCTTTAGAAATCAGTATGTGAGCACGTGTGTGTGTGTGTATGTGTGTGTATATGTGAGTGTGGTGTGTGTCTGATGTGTTCATGAGTGTGTATACATGAGTGTGAGTGTGTGGTGTGTGTGTATATCTATATATGTGAGTGTGTATGTGAGCGTGTATGTGTATATGTGAGTGTGAGTGAGAGTGTGTGTGTATATGTGTGTGTGGTGTTTGTGTGTATGTGTGGTGTGCGAAGGTGGTGTAATCATGAGTTTATATATGTGAGTGTGTGAGTGTGTATGCATATAATGTGAGTGTGTACATGAGTGTTTGTATTGTGTGAATGTGAGTATATGTGTATATATGTAAGTGTATGTGGAGTTTGGATGTGTGAGTATGTATGTGAATATACATGTGTAATTATGAGTGTATGGTGTGTGTAGATGTGTGTATGCATGTATATGTGAGTGTGTGTTGTGTGAGTGTGTATATGTGGATGTATGTGGCGTGTTAATGTGTAGATGTGAGTGTGTGATTGTGTATATGTGAGTGTGTGTGGTATGTGAGTGTATGCAGTGTGTTGGTGTATATGTGTATATGTATGTGTGGTGTGTGTGTATATGTGAATGTGTGTGTTATGTGGGTGTATGCAGTGTGTTAGTGTGTATGTGTATATGTGAGTGTGTATATGTGAGTATGTGTGGTGTGTGAGTGTGTATATGTGAGTGTGTGTAAGTGAGTGTGTGTGGTTTGTGAGTGTATGCAGTGTGTTAGTGTGTATGTGTATATGTGAGTGTGTATATGTGAGTGTGTGTGGTGTATGAGTGTGTATAAGTGTGTGTATCTGGGAGGAGGGTGGGGGGCAGCTGTCTGTCTCGACTCTTCACTGTCCACCCTTCCGTGGCCATTTAACTGTGGGAGCCGCAGCTTCGTGTCAGGGTGAGGGGAGGGGGGAGTGCTACCCGACCCGCCTGAACTCAGGGGAGGCCCGAATGTGCTCAGGAGCGGCCTTCCTGCCGAGTCCCGGCCCTGTGTGTGTGCACCTTGGGAGGAGAGCGGGTGTCACTGTATTTGTATGTCCTGTCCTCTGAGACGCTCTGCTGTGACTGCGGTTTTGAGAGGAGGGTCAGGAGGCCTTCGTCCTCTCCCCTGTGGCAGAACTAGCCTGTGTGGCCCTGCTGCCACCAGGAGGGCGCACTCCGTCCTGAGGGGACGGCCTACATGCAAATAGGACCGCCCGCCGCCGCCAGACATCCCAGGGGCGGCCGTGGTCTCCAGTAAGGAGTCCAGACTCCGCAGCGCGGTCCCCGGACCGGGCCTGGTCCTGCCCCCCTCCAGCCTGCCGCCTGCCCTGCCCTGGCGCCAGCCTCCCCCGCCCGTGCCACTCTCGCCAGATTGTATTCCTGGGTCTGGACGAACCATCAATGCGCTTCCTCAGGGAGGAGGTCCCTGGTTCTGCTGAAGCGACTGACTCTCCTGAAGTCACAAAACTACGAAATGACGAGCCGTTAGCAAACATCCTGCTTCAGGTCCAAGCAGGCGGCGAGGCCCCCATTTCCCAGGGAAGACAGACGGCGCAGCGGGGGCGGCAGGGACCGGAGCCCCCAGTGGCTGCCGTGGAGTTTATAGAAGGGAGTGTGATCGCCCCGCAGGGTCGCGGAGTTCCGCGAGGAGCAGAATAAGATGAAAACCACCCTTGCTCCCACCAGCTGGAATAGCAGCGGGTGTTCCCTGTGCTCATTCCCCTAAAACTCTGGGCGCCCACAGCTCGGGGTGCTCTCTGGAATACGGCTCATGCGATGCTCACATACTGAAGAGACCATGACTAGAACGGGTTTAGAAATCAGAGTTAAGGGCAAATTTTTTTTTTAACAACAGAACTCTCGTAGCTTCTGATATGCTAATGAGCACTGGGTGGCGAGGGTGTAATGGTCTCATTTTCTAAACTAATGGGATTTTTAAAAAGAGGCAACTTGAAGGAACCCACTTTGGGAAATGCTCTACGACCTGGACATACTTCCAGGCGAATCAGGTTCCCTGCCTGAGCGGCTGGAGCTGGGGCTGCGCTCGGTGCACAGCGCGGGGATGGAGGGAAGGCTTGTTTGGGGCACGGACCCGGGCTTCCTACTCGAGTCAGCACCCCTCCCCGGCTCCTCAAGCAAACAGTGGGCATTGGCGGCTGCCCAGTGCACACCCGGGGCGGAGACCTGCTCTGATTCCCACTCGGGGCTCCCCAAACCCCCTTTCTGGAAAGGACCTGATCGCTCTGAAGCTGTTTCTGCTGCAATGGTGACCCCTTGTGGTCAAGATGGGAAACGCACAGGACAGCGGCTCCGCTGAGCAGCCTGGTCTCCAGGGCACTGAAGTCAGTTGACAAGAGTTAACTTTCCTGTCCACAGCTTGGCTGCTGCCTCTGGCCTCCATGATCTTCCCTGGCTGCTGGGAGCAGGGCCCACGCCCACCCCTCAACTTCCTCCCTGTAGTGCTCCAGCCCCCAGAACCGCCCCCCCTCCCTCCCTCTCTCCCTCCCTCCCTCCTGGATATCAAATTCCCGCTCCTTCCGTGCGTGGCACCCTGGCTTACAGAGCATGTTCAGAGGTACCCGACACGGGCTCTCCTCGTGCCCTCCTCACAGCCTTCGGGGAGGGCGATGGAACAAGGCCGGGCGGGACTACAGCAGGTGGAGAGTCAGGACCCCGTCTCGTGTGCTGATCCCAGCTTCCCCGCCCTCCCTGCCGGCTCCGCCAAAGGAAGCCGTCTCTAACCTGGGCAGGGGAGCCCTGCTCTGTCGTCCACCGTGGCCTGAAATGCTTATGTGAGAAACGGGTTTCGTCTGGCCCCGCAGGAAGCAGCGGGACAGGCTCTGCACGGCTCTGAGGCGGGAACGCCACCCACCACAGCCCGGCACCAGGCGCCGCTCCTGTTGGCACCCCGCCAGCCCACTCCTCCCTGTCACTCCCAGGTCCCGAGTCTGACTGGCAGGTGAAGCTTTCAGAAGCGGGCAAGTGCACTTCCCTTAACCTCCTCGTGTCCTCGGCTCTCCCCTTGGGGCTTACGAGAGAAGAATGAAGTTCTGGCTTCTGACAACCAGAGGGGCTTTTCTGTTGGAGGCAGGAGAACTGTGAATGGGGTGCCCATTTGGGGCGCCTCAGAAGGAGCAGGTGGCCTCCCGGGCCCAGGCAGCCCCCCTCCCAGTGCACGGGCCCCTTTCAGTGCTGTCCCCGTCCTTCCGAGCATGCTCCCTGCGCCTTGCCACCCCCCAGCTCTGTGCCCTGCGGCCGGCCTGGCTGCTCCTCCTCAAGGCCCCAGCCCACAGCAGCGCCAAGCGCTCATAGCCGCCAGGCCAGTGGTTCTCAGCCTCGGCTGCACATTAGAAGCACCTGGGAATCTTTTTAAAATCCTGATTTCTGGGCCTCATCCTCCGGAAATTCTGTTTCTTTGTTGCTAATGTTGTGGCCCCACCCCATAACAAGGAAACAGAATTTCTGGAGGATGAGGTCCAGAAATCAGGATTTTAAAAAGATTCCCAGGTGCTTCTAATTAATGTGCGGCCAAGGTTGAGAGCCACTGTGCCAGGCACTCCGTGCTTCCCCGGTGCGTTTATTTAACCTTCACAGCAATCCTGTGCACTGAACACTAGCAAAATGCCCATGTTTCATGCAGAAGCTACAGCACAGAGAGGCTGAGACGCTTGCCAAGGTCGCACAGCGCGCCGTGCTGTCAGCCACGTGCTGTGCTGCCCGCTCCAGGGCCTCCTCCAGACGCCGCCTTGCTGGCCTCTGCGTCCTCTGTGGCAGCGCCACTGGGTGGAAGACTTGTGGACCTGGACCCGCTGCGCACACTGTGCTGCCCGAAGGGCAGACTGAGCAGTGGCCATGGCAGACCGCGGTGACCGCTGCGGAGTCCCGTTCCCAGCCAGAGAGGGGAGGCCACCGGCCAGGGGAGGCTGCCCGGTGCCAGCAGGAACTCCAGACGCGCCCAGAGCAGGCCTGCCAGCAGAAGTGGGGCCCAAACTGGAAGCTTGCTGAGTCCACACCACAGCTTCCATTTCACATTAGAGCGAGGGGTTCCCGCAGTTCTGTCCTTTCATTACTTTTAAGAAGTTCTTGTTTTGCCCCAAACGAGTGAAGGGTGGAGTGGCAGGTTCATCCCGGTTAAACGGGAGCCCCAGCCGGCACTCATGCGGCTCACGGGCTGGCGGCTGCTGCCCTCCCATCCGACTTTTCCAGATACCACCTACCCTGCATGTGCCTACCCCCCCACACACCTACCCTGCATGTGCCTACCCCCCACACACACCTACCCTGCAGGTGCCTACCCCCCACACACACCACCCTGCATGTGCCTACCCCCCACACACACCTACCCTGCAGGTACCTACCCCCCACACACACCTACCCTGCAGGTACCTACCCCCCACACACACCTACCCTGCATGTGCCTACCCCCCACACACACCTACCCTGCATGTGCCTACCGCCCCACACACCTACCCTGCATGTGCCTAACCCCCACACACACCTACCCTGCATGTGCCTACCCCCCACACACACCTACCCTGCATGTGCCTACCGCCCCACACACCTACCCTGCATGTGCCTACCCCCCACACACACCTACCCTGCATGTGCCTACCCCCCACACACACCTACCCTGCATGTGCCTACCGCCCCACACACCTACCCTGCATGTGCCTAACCCCACACACACCTACCCTGCATGTGCCTACCCCACACACACCACCCTGCATGTGCCTACCCCACACACACCACCCTGCATGTGCCTACCCCACACACACCTACCCTGCATGTGCCTACCCCCCACACACACCTACCCTGCATGTGCCTACCGCCCCACACACCTACCCTGCATGTGCCTACCCCCCACACACACCTACCCTGCATGTGCCTACCCCCCACACACACCTACCCTGCATGTGCCTACCGCCCCACACACCTACCCTGCATGTGCCTAACCCCCACACACACCTACCCTGCATGTGCCTACCCCACACACACCACCCTGCATGTGCCTACCCCACACACACCACCCTGCATGTGCCTACCCCCCCCACACACCTACCCTGCAGGTACCTACCCCCCACACACACCTACCCTGCAGGTACCTACCCCCCACACACACCTACCCTGCATGTGCCTACCCCCCCCACACACCTACCCTGCATGTGCCTACCCCACACACACCACCCTGCATGTGCCTACCCCACACACACGCCTACACCACGCACACACCTACCCCACACACACGCCTACCCCCCACACACGCCTACACCACGCACACACCTACCCCCCACACACACCTACCTCACACACACCTACCAAACACACACACCTACCCCTCACACACACCTACCTCACACACACCTACCCCCCACACACACCTACCCCTCACACACACCTACCTCACACACACCTACCCCACACACACACCTACCTCACACACACCTACCCCACACACACACCTACCCCTCACACACACCTACCTCACACACACCTACCCCACACACACACCTACCCCACACATACGCCTACCCCCCACACACGCCTACACCACGCACACACCTACCCCACGCACACCTACCCCACACACACACCTACCCTGCATGTGCCCACCCCACACACACACCTACCCTGCATGTGCCCACCCCACACACACCACCCTGCATGTGCCTACCCAACACACACGCCTACACCACGCACACACCTACCCCACACACACGCCTACCCCACACACACACCTACCCCACACACACACCTACCTCACACACACCTACCCCCCCCACACACCTACCCCTCACACACACCTACCTCACACACACCTACCCCCCACACACACCTACCCCTCACACACACCTACCTCACACACACCTACCCCCCACACACACCTACCTCACACACACCTACCCCACACACACACCTACCCCTCACACACACCTACCTCACACACACCTACCCCACACACACACCTACCCCACACATACGCCTACCCCACACACACGCCTACACCACGCACACACCTACCCCACGCACACCTACCCCACACACACACCTACCCTGCATGTGCCCACCCCACACACACACCTACCCTGCATGTGCCTACCCCACACACACGCCTACACCACGCACACACCTACCCCCCACACACGCCTACCCCACACACACGCCTACACCACGCACACACCTACCCCCCACACACGCCTACCCCACACACACGCCTACACCACGCACACACCTACCCCACACACACCTACCTCACACACACCTACCCCTCACACACACCTACCTCACACACACCTACCCCCCACACACACCTACCCCACACACACGCCTACACCACGCACACACCTACCCCACGCACACCTACCCCACACACACACCTACCCTGCATGTGCCCACCCCACACACACACCTACCCTGCATGTGCCTACCCCACACACACCACCCTGCATGTGCCTACCCCACACACACGCCTACACCACGCACACACCTACCCCACACACACACCTACCTCACACACACCTACCCCCACACACACCTACCCCTCACACACACCTACCTCACACACACCTACCCCACACACACACCTACCCCACACATACGCCTACCCCACACACAAGCCTACACCACGCACACACCTACCCCACGCACACCTACCCCACACACACACCTACCCTGCATGTGCCCACCCCACACACACACCTACCCTGCATGTGCCTACCCCACACACACCACCCTGCATGTGCCTACCCCACACACATGCCTACACCACGCACACGCCTACCCCACACACACGCCTACCCCACACACACGCCTACCCCACACACACGCCTACACCACGCACACGCCTACCCCACACACACGCCTACCCCCCACACACGCCTACCCCACACACACGCCTACACCACGCACACACCTACCCCACACACACACCTACCTCACACACACCTACCCCACACACACACCTACCCCCCACACACACCTACCCCATGCACACACCTACCCCACACACACCTACCCCGCACACACACCTACCCTGCATGTGCCCACCCCCCACACACACCTACCCTGCATGTGCCTACCCCACACACACCTCCTACCCTGCATGTGCCTACCCCACACACACACCTACCCCACGCACACACCTACCCTGCATGTGCCTACCCCACACACACACCTACCCCACACACACACCTACCCCACACACACACCTACCCCACGCACACACCTCCCCTGCATGTGCCTACCCCACACACACACCTACCCCACACACACACCTACCCCACGCACACACCTACCCTGCATGTGCCTACCCCCCACACACACCTACCCTGCATGTGCCTACCCCACACACACACCTACCCCCCCATACACCTACCCCGCACACACGCCTACCCCACGCACACGCCTACCCCACACACACGCCTACCCCACGCACACACCTATCACACACACACCTACCCTACACACACCTACCCCACTCACACGCCTACCCCACACACACGCCTACCCCCCACACACACCTACCCCACTCACACGCCTACCCCACGCACACGCCTACCCCACACACACGCCTACCCCACACACACACCTACCCCACTCACACGCCTACCCCACACACACGCTTACACCACGCACACGCCTACCCCACGCTGTACTTCTCCCTCCCCTGTTCCCAGCCCACTGAGGTGGAAGAACCCCCGAGACCAAGGGCGCCTCTGGCCTTGTCTTCTCATCTCCGAGAGCTCTGGGTGCAGCTGGCCAGGCAGCACGGGCACCGGGGCCGGGGCCCCCAGCAGTGCTCCCACTCCATGGGTTCCAAGGTGAGGACGGAGAATATTTGTATAGTTTTTGGATTTTCCCTCCCAGTTTGTTTCCTGACCAAACGGTCAAACACCAAGCTCCCCAGGACACGAGTGGCCTCCTGGCAATGGGACGGGCCCTCTCCGCAGCCCTGGTCTCCTGTGTGCAGCCATGAGGGCGTGCATTTGTGGAAGTAGGTTCAGGGGAGTCTGAGACGGACGGCCTAGGAGGGAATGCGGACAGGAAATTCCCACCCTGAGCGGAGCCAGTGTTGGCCGTGGGGCCTCAAATGTGAACTTGGCATAATCGTACTCAGAGCTGCGACCAGGGCTTTCGCAGTGACTCCTGTGTCCTGGGCCTGAGGAGCGCATCACCGGCTCCCACCAGGTGCTTCTCATGAAGCCGCCGCTGTTGCTCTCAGCAGCTGGGGGGAGGTAGGCGTGGCTATGAGAAACCGGCGCCCAGAGACATGGCCCAGGACGTAGCTGTGCCCACTGCAGCGTGGGACCGCCTTCCGGGCCCCTGCAGCCTGGCAGCCGGCTGCGGGGGGTGTGGTTACCTGGCAGGCCCTTCCGCTCCTGGTTCTGGAGGCTGAAGCTCTGCCAGCGGTACTGCGGGGCCGGGGAGCCCTCCTTCGACTGGCAGGTCAGCTGGACGTCCTTCCCAATCACCGTGTCGCCCAGGATGCTGCAGTCCGGCTTGGAGGGTGGCACTGTGCAGGGAGGGCCGAGAGGAGGCGTGAGTGGGCGGGGCTTGGCGACAGCCACCTGCCTCCCACCCGCGCACTCACGCCTGCCGTCGTGTTTGCTCCCAGGCAGAGATTCACAGCCAGGAGGTGAGAGGCAAGCGCTCGAGGTCAGCCCAGCACAGCCCCTCCCCAGCGGCCTGTCCCCATCGCAGAGAGCACGCACAGTGCGAAGCGTCCCCGTGGCCAGTCCCCTCTGTCCCCTCTGTCCCAGCAGCCCTTACACCCGCTGCGGGGACCCCGGAGACCTCAGATCTCAGTTGGCTGGTGTCCGCTCTCAGACAGGACGCAGATGCCACCTGAATACTTATTGCGGGCAGAGCGATGGGCAAGCGGAGCCGGGACACAATGGGCTGGAGGCCGCTGCAGGGCCTGCGCCTCCCACGGAGGACACCAGGGGGCGCCAGAGGCCGGGAGGCACCCGGCCCGATCCCATGGGCACCGGGCAGGTGTCCCGGGCAAGGCGGCCTCCTTGGGTGACCAGGGCCTCCTGCCTCGTCCAGCCTGGGTGGGTGGCGCCACATAATTAATGCCCTTGTGGGTCAGAACTAGCCCCACGGGAGAGCCATTTGGAAAGAAAACTTTATTATTTATTTATTTATTTTTAATATATTTTATTGATTTTTTACAGAGAGGAAGGGAGAGGGATAGAGAGTTAGAAACATCGATGAGAGAGAAACATTGATTAGCTGCCTCCTGCACATCTCCTACTGGGGATGTGCCCGCAACCCAGGTACATGCCCTTGACCGGAATCGAACCTGGGACCTTTCAGTCCGCAGGCCGATGCTCTATCCACTGAGCCAAACCGGTTTCAGCAAAAACTTTATTTTTAAGAGAAACTGCTGAGTTTCTTGACATAAAGTACAATATGATCTCTCTCACGCTTTTTTTTAAAGCAAAAATGGGTTTCACCGAGTCCCATAACCTCAGATTAAGGGTGTCCTTAAAGTTAACTAAAATGCAGCGGCCTTGGTGGGGGGGGGGGGGGGGGCGGCGCTGCCTCCCCAGCCAGCCCCAGCGGGAGGGCCCGAGGTGCTTAAAGGGCCACGGGAGACAGAACTGGGCAAAGACCAAAGACCGGGTGGGAAGAGAGGGGCTCAGCTGGGGAACCGGGGCAATGGGAGGATGGGGGGTGGGGAGCAGAAGAGAGACTGGGGGAAAACGCTCATTTTCTTGGCTTGGTAATCTCTCTCTCTCTCTCTCTCTCTCTCTCTCTCTCTCTCTCTGACATGCGGAGAAGCGTGGAGGGTCTGTCAGCGCCCCATTTGCTGCTGGTGGGGCGTGTGGGAGGGGAGACAGCCCTCCATTCAGGGCTGTGCTGTTTGACTCACTGCAAAGCTTCAGAAAGCCAGGCAGCCACTGCATGCAACGAACAACCCCCACCCCCACCCCCCGAGTGGTGTAAAGGGAGGAACTAAAGGGGAAACGGGGCCGTGGTGGTCAGACTCAGACGGGCGCTGCCTTGCGGGTGGGCCGTGCCGGGCTGGGCACAGCACAGGTGTCGCCACAGGCTTCCCGCGGCTCTGGCTTGGCGCCGGCGCTGCCTGCTCTGGGCCTTGCCTACAGAGGGAGGTCCTAGTGTAGACGATGGTGCAGCTTCCCTCACAACGTGGACTCCACTCACGTTATTTGTAGGGAGAGAATGGGGTCTTGGGGCGCATTTGAAAGGCAGACGACCTGGCGGCTGTGTTGTTAGTAAGTTGGGTGTGAAAAAGGGGAGAGGGCTGCCCTGGCGGGTGGCCCAGGTGGTTGGAGCGTCATCCATGCACCAAAGGTGGCAGGTTGATTCCCGGTCGGGCACATGCCCAGGGTCGGTTCCATCCCTGGTCGGGGCTCATGCGAGGGGCAACCAATCGATGTTTCTCTTTTATATCAATGTCTGTCTGTCTGTCTGTCTCTCTCCCCCCTCCCCTTTCTCTCTGAAAATCAGTGAATATATCCTTGGGTGAGGATTTTAAGAAGAGGAGAGGTGTCCAGGAAGAGGCGTGATCAGAGCATGGACAGGATCCCGCTGAGCCCCAGGGGACACTCCCAATGGGCCGTGTCCTCTGCCCTGCGGAGTGGCCACCCTTCTGGAAACTAGAATGTTCTGCAGCTCCAAGGGAGGCGCAGTGCCTGCCTGAGGCCCGCGGACAACGGAGGAGTCCCAGCTCTGGGTCAGGCACTGCTGCTACCAGGCACCCCCTGCAGGCACCCCCTCCAGGCACCTGTCCTCCAGGCACCTGTCCTCCTGGCACCTGTCCTCCTGGCACCCCCTCCAGGCACCTGTCCTCCTGGCACCTGTCCTCCATGTACCCGCTCCAGGCACCTGTCCTCCTGGCACCTGTCCTCCAGGCACCTGTTCTCCATGTACCCCCTCCTGGCACCTGTCCTCCATGTACCCCCTCCAGGCACCTGTCCTCCATGTACCCCCTCCAGGCACCTGTCCTCCATGTACCCCCTCCTGGCACCTGTCCTCCATGTACCCCCTCCTGGCACCTGTCCTCCATGTACCCCCTCCTGGCACCTGTCCTCCATGTACCCCCTCCTGGCACCTGTCCTCCATGTACCCCCTCCAGGCACCTGTCCTCCATGTACCCCCTCCTGGCACCTGTCCTCCATGTACCCCCTCCTGGCACCTGTCCTCCATGTACCCCCTCCAGGCACCTGTCCTCCATGTACCCCCTCCAGGCACCTGTCCTCCTGGCACCCGTCCTCCAGGCACTTGTCCTCCATGTACCCCCTCCAGGCACCTGTCCTCCATGTACCCCCTCCAGGCACCTGTCCTCCCTGCACCTGTCCTCCATGTACCCCCTCCTGGCACCTGTCCTCTAGGCACCTGTCCTCCTGGCACCTGTCCTCCTGGCACCCCTGCCCACCTGCTGCCTACCACAGGAAGGGGGGCACTCACCCAGGACCAGGAGGCGGACTCGGGCCTTGGAGGTGCCGTCCAGGTCATTGAGCAGCGAGACCGAGCACTCGTAGGTGCCGTTGTCGTCCATGGTCAGCTGGTTGATGATGATGGAGGCGTCGGACTCCTCGGCATTGCCCGACAGCTTGACACGGTTCTCATAAAGTTTACCGTAGTTGTATTCTTTGGTCGAAAATGTCCAGGCGAGCACCCTTTCCTGGAGGAAGGAGAGATGCCGCCTGGCCCTCACCCTAAGGCTTCGGCGCGGCCCTTCCTCCCACGGTGCCGCCGACCCCGAGGCCCCGCCGCCCGCAGCACCGACGCCACCCTCAGACCAAGCAGCTCTCCTCTGTGGCACCAGCTCCCAGCATCTTCCTAAGTTTAGTGACAACATTGAAGGGCTGGGCAGGGGGGCGTGAGGGTAAATGGGGTTTCCCCAGATCCCGCCTCGCTCTCACCCCGCAGGTGAGCCCACTGTCTGTTCCTGCGCCCCGTCAGCCAGCGCCCATTGAGCGCCTGCCACAGGCCAGCACCGTGCGGGCAGCGCCCTTGGCTCCCGGCCACTTCGTGTACTTGGTTCTTGCCTTTGGAGTTTATTTCTTCACCAATTTACTCATCGCTTATCAAACGGAGCCTGGAGCGGACTGAGGTCGGTTCCGCCCGCCCGCCCGTGACGCCCTCTCTCGGGGACACTCACCGAGTGGCTCCACAGCAGCTTGTCCCACTGGATGAATCCTTTCCGCTCGAGGACGGAGGTGCGGTAGGTGCAGGGGAGGGTGACGCTCCGGCCTCGGGCAGCCCGCAGGACTTCCCCCGGCGTCTCCACTGAGATGGCGGTGACGGTCACCCAGACTGCGGGACGGTGGGGTGGGGGCAGGTGAGGGCGCGGGCAGGCCCCGTGGCGCCCTCCCCCCGCGGCCGCAGCCCACACACGGCATGGGCCCCTCCCGCAGCACACGGCCCGCCTGCCTGCCAGCCTCGGCCCCTGCCTCCTGCCCATCCACCTCCCAGGTCAGACGCGTTTATCCCCGCACCTGCGACTCCACATCAACACACGGCTTCTCCAGGGCTGGAGGAAGTGGCACAGCACTGAGTTAAATGGTTTAAACGGAGTCCCCCTGTCCCTAAATGCATGACCCCCAGCAGTCCCTCGGGCACTCGGGCCTGCGTTCTCACTGGGCTGGAATGTTCGCTTTGCTGAGAACGGGGGCTGCCCCGTAACCCGCGCCCATCGCTGTGAGTTGTCCTGCGTGTGCTCTGTCCTGCTGGCTCGCTTCCACCGTCCGGCCCACAGCCTGTTCCTGAAGACGCCCTCGGTTATAAAGACGAAGTCGCTCGAGAACCAGCCCAGCACCCTGGGCGAGCGCTGGGGAAGGACTATAATCCCTGGGGTGCAGGGATCGTGGTGACAGGGAGTTGAAAGCATTTCGTGTTGGTAGACCGTGAGGGGAAAGGCGGAAGTGAACGGAGGGGAAAGAGCTCATGAGCCAAGGGGAGCTCTCTGAGCGGAGTCAGATGCTATTGTAAACCCGGGGGGCGTCTGTGGGTGGGTCCTGGCCCCAGGCACCCTGCCATGTTCCGTAACCCCCACTGGGAATGAACCCCGGGTTTAAGGATGTCAGGCCCCAGCACCCCACACAGCCGGACCCCTGGCTCTCACACCGTGGGCCTCACGGCTCGGGGCTCCCATGGCTGTCCCCCAGTCCCCTCCCACCTCCTGGAACAAGCCGGGTCCTCCCACCTCTGGGCCCAGTGTTGTAGCTCTGGGCCCCGGGTTCCTCTTCTGTGGGATCTTTGTATGCCTACTCCGTGGAGGAGCCCCAAGTGGAACAGCTAACCTGTGATTAGAAAACTAAGACGGGGAGGAATTCTAGAAATTTCTAGAGCCTTCCAACCACCTTCTTTCCACTTCCTTGCCCAGGTCTGTTGGGCACCTTCCTCCCAGTTGCCCTGGATCTCCCCCCGCCCAGTAGTTGCCTCCCTAGAGCTGTGTCCTTCACGCCCCAGAATATCCCTCCCTCCTCCTCACCCCTCTGTGCTCCTCAAGTGTGAGCTCCCCACGCATCCGCCATCCACCGATGTGCTGACTCACCCCAGGGGCTAAGCCAGGGGTGGGCAAACTTTTTGACTCGAGGGCCACAATGGGTTCTTAAACTGGACCGGAGGGCCGGAACAAAAGCATGGATGGAGTGTTTGTGTGAACTAATATAAATTCAAAGTAAACATCATTCCATAAAAGGGTACGGTCTTTTTTTTTTTTTAGTTTTATTCATTTCAAACAGGCCGGATCCGGCCCTCGGGCTGTAGTTTGCCCACGGCTGGGCTAAGCACTAATAGTTCAGTGACAAGCTAGCCTTCCTGGGGGGTGGGGGGGGGACATGTTGGAAGAGCAGGTGCTTCACCTGCCAGGAGGGCGGCACTCTCCTGCGCTGAGGCCCTTGGCGGAGAAGGAAATGCCCAAACTCTCCCAGGCAGGGTCGTGCCACCTGCCACCCGTGAGCACCTGCTCCGAGAACTGCTGCCATGAGGAGTTATCTCGCCCGCGGGAGGGCGGCCCAGAACACATGCTGGAGCCCAGCTGCCGGGGTGGCACCTCACCCTGACTTACCAGCTGTGTAACCAGGGCAACTTAACGAACCTCTCTGTGCCTCAGTTTCCTCCTCTATAAAATGAGGAGCCCTGGCCAGGTAGCTCAGTGGGTTAGAGAGTCTTCCTGCTACGCCAAGGTTGGGGGTTCAATCCCCAGTCAGGACACATATGAGAAGCAGCCAATGAATGCATTGATATGTGGGAGAAAAAAAATCAGTGTTTCTCTCTCTCTCTCTCAAAATCAATAAATAAACACATTTACAATGAGGACAGTGCTCTCTAACTCCAGGTTGTTGTGAGGGTTGAACGACAATACATTTAGCGTGCACACCCTTTCCCCAGCACATACGCAGGTACCAGCGATGTTATCGTGTCTTTTCCTCTGCTGAGCTGTGTTGCTCCATCGTCATATCCCCGGGGCACAGCCAAGTGCACCCACATCGGACCTGCTCTAGCAAATGAATGAGGTACAGAGCAGCCAAGCTTTCAACATGGGTAGGATTCACAGCCCAGACACTTGGTTGCAGACTCTATCCCACAGATCACGAGAAAATGCAAAAAAAAAAAAAAAAAAAAAATCAAGTAAAGAAGCCCCTCCCCTCCGGGGGAGGCCAAGTCTGCAAAGTGCCCCAGACCAGTGGTCGGCAAACTCACTAGTCAACAGAGCCAAACATCAACAGGACGACGATTGAAATTTCCTTTGAGAGTCAAATTTTTTAAACTTAAACTATATAGGTAGGTACATTGTTATGAACTTAATTAGGGTCCTCCTAAGGCTTAGGAAGAGCCACACTCAAGGGGCCAAAGAGCCGCATGTGGTTCGCGAGCCGCAGTTTGCTGACCACGGCCCCAGACGAAGCCGGGCTGTCCTTTAGCCTCCCTAAGGGGCGGGGCCGGAGACCGGCGAAGCCACGGTGATGCTTGTAAATCATCACGGTTTGTTAAGAAGATGAACTGTCTCTTGAGAGCTCCCGGGAAGCAACACACCCGAGGCGGGAAATGAAGTGAGTGATGGACTGGCTGCTGGAGGCCACACAGTAAACGTGGGGGCCCTGGGGGCACTGGCAGTACTGCCTCCACTTAGGACAGCCATCTGCTCCCACAGACGGACGGACGAGGAGGAGCTGGTGCGAGGCCAGAGGCCGCCGCCTGCCCGGGGCTGGGCCCGCACTGTGTTGAGAAAGTGCGGGTCTTTGGAGGGGCCCTGCATGCTGGCGGGTGGGTTTTTCCTGCCCCCTCTTACGAATGGCTTCCAACTGGCACTGAAGGGAGATGGGGAGTTAGAAATCGATGAATGTTCGTTGAACTTTTGTTCAACATGGATCTTAGGAATCTGCAAATGCCAATCACGTCACTGGTTTTCCCCAGTGGCCCCAGTTTAGTGCAGGCGCTGGGTGTTGCCGCGGGCCTGCTCACGGCCGCCTCCTCTGGGAACCCACTGGGAACCCCCAGCCCTCACTGCACTGGCTTGTATGTGATTTATTTCTGTGAGTGTAGTTGGCATTCGGTATCGCATTAGTTTCAAGTGCACAGTATAGGGATTCGGAATGCACATGCCTTACGACGTGATAGCCACACCCCGTCCAGTACCCACCTGTCACCCTGCAGAGCTGTGACAGTGTCATCACCACAAGCCCGTCACCTTTCACCCAGCTCCCCGCGCCCTCCCGCCGGCCACCACCAGTTTAATCTCTGATTCCGTGAGTGTTTTTGTTTGTTTGGGGTTTTTGTGTTTATTAGATTTCACATGTAAGTGAAATCATGCGTATTTGTCTTCCTCTGTCTGACTTGTTTCACTTAGAAATGCCCTCCAGGTCCATCCGTGCTGCCACCAATGGCAGTTTCCTCCTTTCCCGTGGCTGAGGGTCTGTACACGCCTCCTTCAGCACTCCTCTCTGCGGGCTCCTGTGCGGCTCCCGCCTCCTGCCGCGGTGAATATGCTGCCGTGAGCGTAGGGGGGCAGGTGGCTTTCGAGCTAGTGTTTCCGTTTTCTTTGCTGGCTTTCAGGGCCACCTCAGGCAGGTGACTGTCCCACGCACACTCTTCCTGTGTGGATGAGGGTGGGTGGGTGCAGGCCTCCTCCCCTCACCAGGGCTCCTTCCCACCCCAACGCGTCTCCACGGAGCTGAGGGCTCAGACGACCTCGCTGAGTGAGCGGTTCGTGGCACAGTCCTGCCCAGACGGGTCGGAGGCCACGGCCAGCCGGCACCTACTGGAGCCTAATTACGCGTTCAATGCCGGTGGTGAAGGCAGGGGTGGGGACCCTTTTCTCTGTCAGGGGCCTTTTGGATATTTATAACACCATTCCATACAGAATTAGCAACTTAAAAACTAGCCTGCTTATATCTGGTCAAACGTTTAATTAATTCACCACTAGGGCCTGGGCGGGGCCAGGCCCAATGACTTTTCGGGCCTCATTCAGCTCATGGGCCGGACGTTCCCCACCCCTGTGCTGGGAGTGAAGAGTGGCAGAGGGCAGGTGTGGGACCAGGACTGGACAGGAAAGGCCGCCCGAGGGGCCGGGCCTTGAAACAGCCCCAGGGATCCCGTTCCAAGGTGGACATGTGCACACCAGGGACCGGACCAGGCGTGAGCCTGTCTGCACAGCCGCACCGCTTCCCGCCACCGCAGAGAGAGCGGGTTCTAGGAGAACACAGACCCGCACGCAGGGCGGTCACAGGGCAATTTGGGGGTTTTGTGCATTTTTAGTTCCCAAACGTCCTGCAACAGGCACGTGCGCTCCTGGAACCATCTCGCCGGCTCCGGTTTGTAAGTCACCCAGGCAGCGCGGCACCGGGAGGACCTGGCCTGTCGCAGGGCACAGCCAGCTGGAGCCAGGGAGCCCCATCATGCCTCTCGCGGGGGTCTCTCTGGTCCCCGCTGGGGCAGAAGATGAAGAGACCTGAGCGGGGTCCCAGGGCAGGAGCTCCCAGGGGGAGAGACAACAGAGGAGAGCAGATGGAAAGACCCAGCCTGGGCAGGGGAGGGGCGGGAGCGGGCGGCCTGCCCCGCCTGCTTGTCCCCAGTGAACTTTGTAGCAATCCCAGGTCCTGCTGGTGTTTATGGCCGCCTGACTCACAGGCAGACAATGCAGCTCAGGGCACTGGGTGGCCGAGGGGAGGGAGGCCGGCAGGAAGGAGGGGGGTTCTGGAGTGACAGTTGGTGCCCTGGGCGGGCAGGAGGAGATAAAACCCAAGTAACGCCAAGGCCAGGGGCAGCATCACTCTACCTCCCAGCCCAATAGCTCTGCCCTTCGGGGCTCACCACCACTGTGTCCAAACAGCACACTGTTCCATCCATGCCCTTTGAGGCAGATCCTGCCACCTGGCCCCTGGCCCCTGCAGTCACACCGCTGCAGTGCGGCCAGCTGGGGGCCCCGCCCTGCCCCCACTTGTTTTCTGTCCGGTGCCCCAGGTCCGGTCCCCACGGCACTCTGACTCCAGTGGGGAGTCAAACTGACCCCCCTGAGCCTGTGACCAACAGGAGCCGGGCACTCAGAGTGGCCAAGTGGAAGGCATTTAGGGGCAGGTCCCCTGCTGGGGGGCGGGGGTGGGCGGGGAGTGCTCTAACGAAGACCCCAAGGGAGGGGATTCTAGAACAGCAGGGCCAGCCTGCAAGTCTGGAACTTAGAAAGCTGGTTCCCGCCAGAACCCATTGTGGATCAGCACCCACTGGTTCGGTGCATTTGTTTAGATGAGGGGAGAAAAAACCACATTCCTCACCTGGAGCATTTGAGGGTGATGGATTCCTTTACTTGTCTATGTAAAGCAGCATTTCCCCAAGTTTTTCTCACTTCTGCTTCAAGGAGGGTTCCTCTAGTTCCAGGGCTGTGGGTCGTGTGTGTGTGTGTGTGTGTGTGTGTGTGTGTGTGTGTGTGTGTGTGTTGTCAGGTCTTCAAAGACTTCCGGGCCTTGGGCAGCACTGTTCAGGGACGTTTTGCCTGGGGGGTTCCTCTCTCTGAATCTCTTTTCCTGCCGCTGGGACTGTCGCCACGCCCAGTCCTCATGGGGTCTGAGGACCCAGAAATCCCTGGAGTACTGGGCTCAGGTTGGAGTGTTTCCTCTAGCAGCCTCTGGGGGTGACAGCTCCGGGCTCCGCCCCAGTCATCCTGACTCTGGGCGCAGGTCTGCCAGATGAGCGCCCTCCGGCGATGAGGAGCCAAACTCTAGTTATTTTCTGTAAGGTACACCTGCCCGCACTGATAATGAGGCATTTATTGAATGCTCCTGGTGCCAGGCACTCTTCCTAGATCTCTACACCTACGAACTCTGAATATCGGCAGCACCTCCAGGAGGAACAGCGAGCATCTGCCCATTTCACAGGTTCGGAAGTGGAGGTGTATGGAGGTGAGCTTTGCCCACACTAAAGTGAGTGAAGGAAGAGGGTGGCTGGGCCCGTGGGAGGCCTGGGGGGCCTGGGAGGAAGAAGTGATTGTCGCTGACGTTAGAACCGTCAGGCCCACGGCTGGTCACCGTCAGTGTTGTTTTTAAAGTCTCTAAATGCACTGCCTTCTGTTTCGTCCCCCATGTTATCTGATGTGATACCTTCTCCCTCCCGCAGCCTGAGGCGCTGGGCCTGTTATCAGTGTGGAGTTGCTCTGCCCAGGACGTCAGCAAGATCTACGATATGCCTGGGCAAGTTCAGGTGCAGAACTCCGCCTCCTCCAGCAGCCCTCCCAACCTCCCTGCGCCTTCCTCGGGGTCCTCTCCTGAGGGTGGTGGAGGGCCCCCTGGCTGCTCTTCGGTTTGACCTTCGAAGGCATTCGTTGCTCACATGCAGGTGGCAATGGCTATTTCTCCCCCAAATGTTTTCACTCAGTGAACTGTCCTAGGACCCGAGGGGCCATCCAGCCTGGGCCCTCTGCCCAGGGCTCCAGCCCATCCTCTGGTGAGAAAGGCCAGGTGGTGGGCAGGGGTTCTGGCCTGGGCAGGGGAAGAGGGGGCAGAAACACACTTTATCTGAACACAAGCCCAAGAACAGGTTCCTCCTCATGGGGGGGGGGGGGGGGAGGGGGCAAACGGACCCTCCAGGCAACGCAGGGCTAGGGCCACTTTCCATTCTACGCTGGGTGAGCATTTTGTTTTGAGATCATTTCCTAAGCAAATCAACTTTCTTTTCATTCAGGCATGGGTTGCAGCAGATGGGGGAGGGGAAGCTGGCATCGCTTCCTCTGAGCCCCCGCCCATTCCCACCTGGGTCTGCCAGCTGAGCCTCACTCCTTCGGTGCCCGCACAAAGTGTGTCCAGTAAGGAGCTGTCTGCGTGAAGGCGTGGCCCAGGCCCCGTAACCTGGTGACCAGGCCCCTCGGGCCCCAGTCAGATGGACCACCTGGCAAGCCTGGGCTTGAGCGAATCGGTTTTTTCCAGATCTATCTCCAAGCTCGACCCAGCCCTTCCCCAGAACCAGGCCGCCCTCCAGGAGTGGAGAGGTGGGGAAGGTGGGAGCCTGGGGGCCTGGGAGGATGGTCTGGGCATGGCTGGCAGGTTCTGGGGCTTCCTGTACAAGCTGATTATTTTTGTTGTTGACTTTTAGAGAGAGTGGAAGGAAGGGGGAGAAACAGAGACAGTAACATCGATGTGGGAGAGACACATCAATTGATTGCCTCCTGCACTTTCCCTGAATGTCAAGCCTGCAGTTGAGGTCCGTGCCCTTAACTAGAACCAAACTCGGGACCCTTCAGTCTGAGCCAAACCAGCCAGGCACACAGCTGAAAGGTGAGCTCTGCCTCGTCCAGCCTCCTTGGCTCCAGGCCTAGGGCTTAGGACTCTGTGCTTCCTGCTATGACCCTCTGCGTCCCTCCTTTCTTCCCAGCTCCCTGGAGCCTGCAATCGCTTCTACATTGCAGGCTGATGAGATTTCTCAGTGTTGCCAAATACACTGCGTGAAATCTACTCCTAAAATTCCCAGCCCCATCTCTCACATTCCCTTCCCATTCCCATTCCCGCCAGGCCCAGGACCCTAACGCCAAGCCTTCCTCCATCCTAACTCTAGGGATGCCACGGTCTCACACAGCGATGTGGCTGGGACGCAGCTGCATGGCCACAGCTGTCTGATTCCTATTTTGTGGGGCCCCGTCTTCTGAGCTCCGGGTGAGCAGAGAATCAGAGGCTGAGGAGCTGGGGCCTTGGGAAGGGCCTGTCTCGCCTTTGTTTGTCGTTCTTGTTGAAGGGTTGGGTCTTCTTTTGCTCTGGGAATGATATTGGGTCAGTTGAATTGTCTTTCTGCCTCAGTTTCCCTATATGTGGTGCAGATGTTAAAACTCTTCACATTGACTTTTTCTCTGGTTTTAAGGAAAAGGTTAAAATCTCAAGTAGTGAACATGTCTAAATCCATAGATCCTGGATTTTCCAGGACAAACTCAATTTCAAACACTTTGTCCCAAAGGTCAGATCCTGTGTCCCACCCTCTATTCTGATCTGAGATCAGAAAATACGGTGTTTGAGAATTTGCGAATTCTTCGTTTTAGAAAAGGGCTGGGATCCTATTTACTAATATGCGAATGATAAAGCATTCTGATTATGGGTTCTGGACCGGAACCCGCCACCTGAACAACAGAACGTGTCATTCTGCCCAGCAGGGCCTCCCCGGGGAGACTCGCCCACCTGGGCACTGGGGGGGAAGGGCCTACTCACCCCCACAGAGCACCCACAGCACAGGCCGCGTCGTCCCCGCCATGTCCTGCTGCCTCGTCGCCTCAAGCCCAGCCGGGAACCGGCAGCACCCAGCCAGGTGTGGGCTGACTCCTGAGAGCTGGCCCCGAGGTGCACTGAGGGCTCCTCTTCCTGGTCCCCCAGCTCAGCCTGGCCCGCACACCCCGCCCCTCACCTCGACTGGCAGGCAAGCTCACCTGTGGGGCTGGACTTGTGCTCCACCTCCTCCACCAAAGGCCCCAACGGGAACCTGCCCGCCTTCTCCTTGAACTCTCTTCCTGCCTTTTCACCTCTTGACAGGTGTACAAAGTCCTGGGCTTCTCCTATGATGGACAGGAAATTGCCGCCTCGTCATAAAAAGGGAAATGATCTCAGAGGAGAGTCTGAACCAATTAAGAAGGGCGTTGCCCACAGTCTGCACCACCCCAAGGCCCAACATGACCCTGTCACTCCCTCCCCACCCATAAGCCCAGCCCACACTAGACACGTCATGAGGAGACGGGAAGTCTGTCTCCTCAGAGGGCGGACCGCCTGGTGGAGGAGATAGACAGGACGCAAGTAGTCAGAGAACACGCCTCAGAGAACCATGGCCACCTGGTCTCAGGTGCGGGAACTGTCCCGGGTCCCCTGGCCCTGGACCCCCTCAGTCCCAAGCAAGCTGGGAGGGCAGGTCATTGCTTCAAGAGTAAGAGTCCTGTGGGGCATGGCCTGGGGTAGCACAGGACAGGAAAGGGGCAGGGGAGGGGCTCCTCTTTAGACGGGTGGTCAGAGCCGAAAGGGAGACGGGCCTTGGGATTTTCTGAATTACAAATGCTGAGCGTCTCAGAGAGCTTAAAGGGGACTCCGCGGGCAGGAGCTGGTCTCTGGTCCACTTCAGGGGTCCAGTGTCACCCCTGCAGGTTCAGGTGGTGACCAAGGGCACAGAGAAGACCAAGGCCCTCAGTCCTCTCCTCCTGAGAGGTCCCCTCTTTGTCCGGTGCCTCTCATTGTGTTAGCGTCTGTCTTTCCTCCCCCACTGCCCTCTACACCATCCGCTCTCCCCCCGCCCCCCGTAGTCACTGTGAACCTGGCCCGCCTGATGCCACCCTGCAGTCCCTCCCTGCCCCTTCTTGCCCTGTTCCCGCTGTGAATAAAAATAATATCAACGGAACCACTTTAAATGGCCCTCGAGCTGCTGTCCCAGAGGAACTGCTGTGCACATCCTATGCCTCGAATATTTAGAATATTAAAACAGGGCAAAATAACCTTTGCACTGGGCCTAGGGCAGCCATGGGCAAACTACAGCCCTCGGCCAGGAAATGAATAAAACTAAAATAAAAAAAGACCGTACCCTTTTATGTAATGATGTTTACTTTGAATTTATATTAGTTCACACAAACACTCCATCCATGCTTTTGTTCCGGCCCTCCGGTCCAGTTTAAGAACCCATTGTGGCCCCCGAGTCAAAAAGTTTGCCCACCCCTGGCTTAGGGCAACCTTGTGTCCCGAAGAACTGTTTGCAAAGATAACAAGGAGGCGGGCTTCTGCCTGAACCCACGCTTCCCGGATCGCTATTCATGTTGATCTCAAATAAATGCTTGTTGCCTCTCACTCTGAGATGTCTTTTTATTTTTGAGTTAACATACCCTTGCTTCACTTAGTAATTCATCTTAGGAGGATTCCCTAGGGCAGTGGTCGGCAAATTGCGGCTCTCGAGCCACATGCGGCTCTTTGGCCCCTTGAGTGTGGCCACGAAGTTTCAATCTCACTGTACGTGCACGCCCACACGTGGTATTTTGTGGAAGAGCCACACTCAAGGGGCCAAAGTTTGCCGACCACTGCCCTAGGGAATCCATTCATTTAAAAAGATAATTATTTAAAACTACCATGTGTCAGGTGTGTGAGGTTCCAGGCGGGAGTGGGGGCACAAGAGAATGTCCTGAATGACAAATAGCACTGAGCTCTCCCTCTGCCCCATGCCAGTGCCAGCAGACATTTTATTTCACATTTATCCATCTGAATATGTATGCAATTTGGGCACTCAAAGGGAAGTGGCGTGGGAAAGTAAGTCTGCTCCCCATCCTGTCCCCGGTCACCTGGCTCCACTTTGTAGGGCAGCTGCGGTCATTGGGTTCTCCCAGCTCTTTTGTGTATACACTGAGTGGCCAGATTATTATTACCACCTGATGTTTGTAGGCAAATTAGCGATAATTTCGCTCTGAAGTTGCTATAGGGCCAGACCATTATAAATAGGGAAGCAGGTTATTTACCACAACAGTAGAAGTGATTTTTTTCTGAAGATGTGGGTAAACAACATGATTTAACAGACTTTGAACGTAGGAGATTATATATATACTAGGGGCCCGGTGCACGAAATTTGTGCACTGGGTGTGGGGCGGGGGGAGTGTCCCTCAGCCCAGCCTTCCCCCTCTCACATACTGTGAGCCCTCAGGCGTTGACCCCCATCACCCTCCAATCACAGGATCAGCCCCTTGCCCAGGCCTGACGCCTCTGCTAGAGGTGTCAGGCCTGGGCAGGGGACCCTCATTTCCCCCCATCACTGGTTCTGCCCCCAGCCCAGGCCTGATGCCTCTGGCCCAGGCGTCAGGCCTGGGCAGGGGACCCCCAGACCCCTCTGATTGCTGGCTCTGCCCCTTGCGCAGCCCTGATGCCTCGGCCAGAGGCGTAGACCCCCATCACCCTCTGATCGCCTGATCGGCCCCTTGCCCAGGCCTGACACCTCTGCCTGAGGTGTCAGGCTTGGACAGGGGACCCCCATCTCCCCCCCGATCACTGGCTCTGACCCCCGCCCAGGCCTGAGGCCTCTGGCCCAGGAATCACGTCTGGGCAGGGGACTCCCATCTCCCTCTGATTGCTTGCTCCACCCTCCGCCCAAGCCTGACGCCTCTGATCCAGGCTTCAGGCCTGGGCAAGGGGACCATCATATCCCTCCAATCCCCGGCTCCGCCCCCCACCCAGGCCTGATGCCTCTGGCCCAGGCATCAGGCCTGGGCAGGGGACCCCCAGCCCCCCGCCCAGGCCTGATGCCTCGGCCAGAGGAGTTGACCCTCATCACCCTCCGATCACCAATCACCGGATCGGCCCCTTGACCAGGCCTCAGGCCTCCGGCAGAGGTGTCAGGCCTGGGCAGGGGATCCCCAGCTCCCCGCGGTTGCAGGCTCCGCCCCTGCCCAGGCCTAATGCCTCTGGCCTAGGCATCCGGCCTGGGCAGCGGGGACCCGCAGTGGCAGCGGGCGGCGCCGCGATCGAGCGGGCTCCGCCCCTGCCCCTGCAGGACGCCTCTGGCTGAGGCGTCCGGCTCGGGCAGTGGGGACCCGCAGCTGCAGCGGCCCAGCGATCGTGGGCTCCACTTTAGGCCCAGGCAAGGGACCCCTAGCTCCCGGGACTGCAAGCTTGACCGTGCCCAGCTCCCATCGCTGGCTCCACCCCTACTTCCTGCTATCACTGGCCAGGGCGGCAAAGGCGCCTGATTCTCCGATCATGGCTGGGGGGCAGGGCAAAGGCGGCCCCAGGGCCGCCTTTGCCCTGCCCCCCACCTCTTAGCTCCCCTCTGGGTTTCCGATCACTGTCAGTGGCAGGGGGCTTCTTCCTGCTTTCCCTTTCGCCTCCCTATATTGTGCCTACATATGCAAATTAGCAGCCATCTTTGTTGGCAGTTAATTTGCATATAGCCCTGATTAGCCAATGAAAAGGGTAGCGCCGTACGCCAATTACCATTTTTCTCTTTTATTTATATATATATATATATATACATACTGAGTGGCCAGATTATTATGACCACCTGACATTTGTAGGCAAATTAGCCATACACTGCATCGTATGGGATATGGAAGCTGAAGTCCTGGTCAAACACCTTTGCAGTTACCAAGATAAAATGTCTCCAATTCACACAGGAACATAAGGATTGGACAGTTGAGCATTGGAGAAAGTCATGTGGTCCTATGAATCACATTTCCAGTTGCATCTGCCATGCAGATGGCAGAGTGAGAAGTTGGTAGAAACAGCATGAAAGCATGCATCCACATGCATGAGTACAACCTTTTAAGCTGGTGGGGGCAGTGTTATGGTTTGGGGCATGTTTTCCTGGCATGATTTGGGCCCTTTAATTCGTGTGGAACAACGTCTGAATAGCACAACATACCTAAGTATCGTTGCTGATCAAGTTCATCCTATCAGAGAAAACAAAGATGGCGGCATAGGTAAACACCGGAAATTGCTGCCTCCCACAACCACTTCAAAAATACAACTAGAAGACAAAACGGACATCATCCAGAACCACAGGAAGGCTGGCTGAGTGGAAATTCTACAATTAGAAGGAAAGAGAAAAGCACACTGAGACTCAGAGGAGGTGCAGAAGTGCAGAGGTATGGAGGCGCACGTGGAAAGGGCTGGCAACTGAGGACGCGGCTGTCTTTTTGAATCGGGAAGGAGTCACAAGCCCCCGACTGCTCTGAACTCCAGTTCCGGGTGAGTCTCTGGGGACCCAGACTCATACGGAGAGAAACTGGATGGTCTGGCAGTGGGCAGAACTCGGAACTCAAGGGCAGCTTTCTCTCAAAGGTGCTTGCAGCGATTACTGGGACTCTGAGACGTGGGGCCCCTTAGGGCAGGGCTGAGGATCAGCCATAGCTGCTTGCTCCACCCTGTTGATTCCCTGAGACCCCGCCACACCCAAGCTGCGGCAGAGGCTTTTGCATATGAATGTCCTGGCCCTTTGCAATCTGAAAATTACCTAACAAACTGCAGCTGGGCCAGACAGACCCAGAACTTCCAAGAGAAGGCCCAAGGCCCCACAGCAGCTTGCACTGCTTCACAGCTGGGCCTCATTTGGGCACCTCCAAACCCCAAACAAGGAAGGGGAATCTGAAGTTCTCTTCATAGCTCCTGCCTGGTAGCCTCAGGCAGAGGCTAAATTAGCACCTCCTTAGATCCAAGAGCCAGTGTACCCAGTGGTCAGAGTGGGACCATCCAATTACAACTCCTCAGATCCATAAGGGACACACTCAGGGGGCAGACTCAGTGAGCACCAAAGCCCCACTAAAGCAAGTCTTGCCTCATACGGGTGTCTTCAGCACAGAAGTTCTCCCACTGTAGACACAGCTGATTCTCACAGCCAATTGGCCTGGAGGTCAGTTCCTCCCAGTGACACCTACAACAATAAAGGCTTAACTACAACAAGACTGTGCACAAAGCCCACAAAGGGGTCCACCAAGAGTGTCCACCTCAGGTAATTGGGGAGGCTGAGCCACTGGGCCCTATGGGACACCTAGCACACAAAGCCACTCTACCAACACAGGGAAGCATAAAAAATGTCGAGACAAAGAAACAGGTCACCAATGACAGAAAT